TATTGGGGGAATGGGATTCAAGGACTTGCAAATGTTTAATAAAGCTCTACTGGCCAAACAAGTCTGGAAGTTGTTAACACAACCAAACTTGTTAGTCAGTAAAGTTTTAAAAGCAAAATACTATCCCAAACAATCAATCTTCAATTGCAAAGTGCCTCAGAATGTTTCATCAATTTGGCAAAGCCTATCAGCTGTCAGAAAAGAAGTTCAAAATGGCATCAGGAGGAAAATAGGAAATGGTAAAGGTACTAGGATCTGGGATGACAACTGGATTCCAGATAGGCCATACGGGAAATCAATTCTGAAAAGTCTCGGGGTGTCAACTAAAGTATGTCTCTGATCTGATAATCAACAACAGATGGAACACAGTCCTAATCTTCAAAATTTTCAACTCACAAGATGCTAAGAGGATTCTGAAAATACCTATAAATCTAATAGGGAAAGAAGACAACTAGTACTGGATGCATTCTCAGAATGGACAATACACAGCTCAATCTGGCTACAAGACTTGGATGAAGGAAAAGGAGATGGAGTGCACAAGAAGGAGGAAGGGAGCTGGACCAAGCTATGAAGGAACTATCACTCAAATCTGGAAAACACTATGAAGCAGAAGGTGAATCAAAAATGAAAGTGTTCATTTGGAAGTGCCTGCATGGTGGACTACCTGTGAGAGGAGAAATTCACAAAGAACAAGACAAGGGAATCCTATGTGTGCAGGATGTGGCGAAAAGGAAGAGTCAATTGACACCTTCTGATCCAGTGCATCAAAGCTAAGGAAATATGGAAGATTGCACCAGTGCAGTGGGATGGAATACAGCAGCTGTTGGATTGTTTCATCAAATGGTGGTTTGCAATCATAGAAGCTCAAGAGAGCAGAGGAGGGGAGGATCAGGTGAACCTTACCATCAACATTCTATGGCAGATATGGAAAGTCAGGAATGATAGGGAGTTTAACCACAAGATAGGGAACCTCACAAGATAATTCAAATCCATGAAAGAATGGATGGAGTTCGATAAGGCCAACAAAGGAAAGATATCAATAAAGAACACTCAGGAAACAGAAATACATCAAAGAACTGTGGAAGAACAAGATCAAAATGAGAGCCAATCAAGTTTGCTGATCAAGGTCCACACTCATCAAGATAAAAGACAAGCAATAGTGGGAATTGGAATCACAGAAACTGACTCCATGGGACAAATTCAAGCAGGTTGGGTATTGAGGGAAAGAATGTCAGCTGATCCACTACAGACCAAGCTGTTGCAGTGAGATTAGCACTACTGAATGCGGCCAACCAAGGATGGAGGAGTATCAAGATGGAACTAAATAATAGGGAATTGGTGGAGTGCATAAGAGACGCAAGGTACAGCAATCAACTAATGGCTACTCTAATAGAAGACATCCAGTTCAGAAGTAATTTGTTTCACAAGTGTTCTTTCTCTTTTGTTAATTCAGGGAAAGTAGGTAGTATTAAATTGAACTTGCATGCTCTAAACATCTTTTAGATGAAGAATGGATAAACCCCAATCTTAGGTGCTAGGCACCAATGATTTTGGTAGGACGGTTTGTCCTTATTGATGACCTTTGTCTAAATACAGTAAAGTTTTCTATGAGATATAAAGCTAACGTTTTGACAAAAAAAAAAAAAAAAAACATCCGTTGCTCTCTTTCGCCGCATTTCATGAAAACCCCTAAGCGGCCTAAACTCCTAAACCCCTAGCCCCATTCCAAAGTGCAAAAAACAACCATTGCGGGCTCCCAAATTACGCCATGCCCATAAACTTAGACCACTGTTCAATTTCCCTGTCCCATAGACAATTTCCCATTAATCCCACCATGTTTAAAAACGTAATTAAGCACTCAGATTTGTTAAAATCCAGTAATTTCCTTCCTTCTTCAGAATAAGATCCATTTTACCGCCATAAAAAATTCATCAAGAGTAATCATTTATTTTCCAGAATTAGTCCTCTCAGACAATCCTCCGCTGTAGTCCTGTCCTCGATCAATGGTTGAAGAGGGCAGAAAGATCCAAAAGATTGAGCTTCAGAGGATTATTCATGATCTCCGAAGCCGCAGGCGTTATTCTCAGGCCCTTCAGGTATAACCATGGAATTTTTTTTTACCGCTTTTCGTAGCTTACTTTTTTTTTTTTTGACTTGGATCATAGAAAATTTTTTAGGTTAATTTTAGGACAAAAAAGAAATGTGGGATTTTTAATTTAGGCCATTCTGTTTCTGTTCTCAAGAGGGTTCTGCTATTGGTGCTCTATAAGCAGCAGTTGGAATTCTAGCTGCTGAAAGTTTATGAAGTAAATCGCAGTTAAATTATCTTTTTTTTTTTAACTGTAAGGTGCAAAGAAATGGTACGAAATTAAGTACCTTTCATGAAATTAGGATTAACTATTTTGTGACTGAAAAATGTGCTTGATGGTTCCCTTAATAAATACAACATAGATAAGTTATAAGATAGGGCAGAAGAATCATGTCATACAAGCAACTAAGCTGTATAGAATTCAATTTGTAGTTTAATGACCTAGTTCGATTTTGCACGATGTTTTGGGTGAAAATAAAACTATTTGGGGGCTTAAAGATAACTCTTTTTTTTTTTGCCTCAACGCTTGAAAGGAGTAATGGCATCAAATAACTGTGTGTATGATATCTGTAATGACGGGGCTTTCCATTTTAAATTAGTTTTTTTGCCAATTGTTGGCATTTTAAATCAGTTAATGTTAGTTTTTGTATAAACAATGAGAAAAGTTGGTCATTCACTTCTCCTGCAAGTGAATAAAGGTGACAGATGAGGAACAGCTGAACATAGAGTGGTACTGGGAACTGAGCCGACAAGATTTTCTCTAATGATGACAGTAGGACTATCTTTCTTTTTGTTTCCCCTTAATTCTTTTATCTTAATTTTTCACTATCTTATTTCAAATTATAGTCGTGTATGTTGCCTGAATTACATATCTTTGTCTTTTCAAGATGTGGTGTAGTAATTTTCCGTGTTTGTAAAGGTTTTTGGTGGTTGATGCTTGTTTTGGCAGGTTTCTGAATGGATGAGTCATGAAAGTCGCTGGACATTTTCTCCTAGTGATTGTGCCGTGCATGTGGATCTGGTTGGCGTGGTCCAGGGATGGGATGCTGCCGAGCGTTACTTTGACAGCTTGAAAGACCAAGAAAAGAATGACAAAACATATGGCGCTCTTTTAAACTGTTATGTTCGTGAAGGACTCCTAGAGAAGTCTCTTTTACATGTGCAAAAGATGGAGGAGATCGGTTATGCTTCGTCAACTCTTGTTTACAACAATCTCATGTGCCTTTACAAACTAACCGGGCAGCTAGATAAAGTCCCTGAACTGTTGGCAGAGATGAAGAAGAATGGTGTGTCTCCTAATAACTTTAGCTATAGAATCTGCATAAACTGTTATGGAGAGAAGTCTGATCTTACTAGCTTGGAGGAGCTTTTGGAAGAGATGGAGAACCAACCTGACATTTCCATGGACTGGACCACCTATTCCATTGTGGCCAACTACTACATTAGAGATAACCAGAAGGAGAAAGCAATTGTCTTTTTAAAGAAATTGGAAGATACATTACTCAAAAATGCTGTGGGGTACAATCACTTGATTTCACTCCATGGGCAACTAGGGAATTTGGATGAGGTAACGAGACTCTGGGGTGTTCAAAAAATTGTCTGTAGAAAGCAAATCAACCGAGACTACATCACGATGCTCGGCGCTTTAGTGAAGCTTGGTGAACTTGAAAAGGCCAAAGAGCTGCTGCAGGAGTGGGAGTCTTCTTGCCACACGTATGATTTCAGAGTGCCGAACATTTTACTAATTGGGTACTGTCAGAAAGATCTAACGAGAAGGCTGAGGACATGCTTCGCAGATTGTGAAGAAAGGGAAAGTGCCAACTCCAAACAGTTGGGGGATTATTGCTGGAGGATATATGAATAAAGGTAACATGGAGAAGGCCTTTGAGTGCATGAAGGAAGCTCTGGCGGTACAAGAGCAAAACCCGAAATGGGATCCAAAACCTAGATTAGTTTTCAACATATTGAATTGGCTTGGCAATAGAGGAGAGCTTGAAGAGGTACAGGCTTTAATGAGGTCGTTAAGGACAGTTGTTCCAGCAAATAGAAACCTGTATCATGCATTAATTAAAGCAAATATTAGAGACAGGAAAGATGTTGATTGGGTTTTAGAGAGCATGAAAGCGGATGGTGTCGAGGAAGATGCAAAAGTTGAAAAGATACTTGCCATGAGATGAAGGAAGCTGGGAACTTCACATGATTCTAAGAAATTTTCGCAGTTTTGGAACATGCATTTTGCTTTACTTTCGCGCTCTTGGAGAAGCTCGTAACTTTTTGAGATGCAGCACCTTATAAGTCAGCTGCTGAAGGATACAAGTCTGGTGTGGCTTTTCATAGGCAGGCTTACCAGGTTTGAAATAGACATGTACGCCAAGGGAGGTGTGCAGATGCAGTGGATTTCGGGCCTCAATAATTGTGGAATGCAATGTAGACAATAAACAGCAAATGTGTAGAATTAGTGCAACAAATGTATACACTTGAACAATAAATGTAAATCAGCAAAAACTGTTAGTACTTGTTTTTAATTAATTACAGCTTTTGAATTGAAATGAAGTTGTACCAAACCATGAAATACTTGTAGAGCTTCCCATCCCACCGCAATTCAGCAAGGGAATTAGGTATAATGACCTAGGATTTGGTTGCTGTAATATACTAAATTGATCCTGATTTAACCTTAAAATTCAGCAGTTTTAAAAGGGCAAGCAAGAAATATTTATTGAGATGCTTTGGCATATTGCGTGGCAGTAATATATCATTTGAAAAATTGCCAAACAGAACCCCAAAAAAAAAAAACTATAATGAAATAATAATAATAAGGAAAGAGAAAAGAAAGAAAAATGAATAAGCAGAGAGCTATATAAGCGACGCTCCGCCAAATTCCAGAAGGCACCCGATAGTCTCCGTTCTTTGCGGTTGTAGACCCGAACTGAGAAGATGGGGAAAGACCGAAGCAAAGCTCCGGAAGACGAAAACGGAGCACCGGTTAACAAAGGCCGCGACTATACGTCCGAATCCGGACCGGAGTCTAGGTCCGAGTCCGATGAAGGGTCCAAAAAGTCCGAAAGAAGCAGACATAGCAAGAGAGACCGAAGCAACAGGAAGAGAAGCCGAAGCTCAAGTAGAAAAGCGGGAGATGATGAAGACGATAGTTACACGTCACCATCTGAGTCGGAGTCTGACTCGGATTCGTATTCTGATACGGAGTCGGGAAGCTCCGAGGACTATTCGGAGTCGGAGGACGAGAGGAGGCGAAGGAAAAGGAGAGAGAGGAAGAAGAGGGAGGAGAAGGAGCGGAGGCGGAGGAAGGAGAAGGAGAAGAAGAGGAGAAGAAAAGAGAGAAGAGAAAGAAGAGAAAAGAAGAAGAAAGAAGAAAGAGGAGAAGAGAAGAAGAAGAAGAAGAGCGATAAAGGCAAAACAGGAGCCGTCACAAATTTATGGGGCAAATATGGGATTATCAGAGAAACTGATATGTGGTAGGCTCATTCAACTTCCATTTCTCTATTTTGTGTTATTATTGCTGAAGAATTAGGGTTAGCATTTATCGCGTAAATGTTGGAGCTTAATGCTTGCAGTAAAATTCGTTCTTTTATTGGTTTTAGTAGCTTGACTTACAATGGCAGAGAGCTTTTTATTTTGCTATTTAATTGTGGATTCATATATGTTCTTGAGCTTGACTAGCATTTTATTAGAATGATGGACAGCTTGGTATAATAGTTTAGAGAATGGCATTTTGGCTAGGGAACGACTGTGGCATATTAGGTTGTTTGGATTCTGAAGATACCATGTATGCATCACTGCTGTAGTCTGAACAGTCTCCGATATGCTAGGTGGTTGATCAATCTTGATTCTTGATTGAGACATTACCTGGTGACTTGCTTTTGTTGCTGATAATGATGACCTCTCTTAGGGGAATATGCTTTTAGTCATTCTCAGAGAACAATTGTGTTCATTTTCCTTCCACTTTGTGCCTGTTAACACAGGTGTTGCTTGCTAATTTATCAGTTATTTGGATGCCTTTTTCTTGCAGGAATAAGCGACGAGTTCACTGCATGGTTAGCAGAAGTGAAGAAGGTTTTCCTTTATCTTGATTTTATTTTGAATAAAAATGTGCCTTATGTACATGGTTGAGTTGTGATTTAGGACATTCAACTATAGTTAAACAATTTTCAATTGTCAGTTCCGAGTGATTATGCTGATATTCCTTTGGTTTTATAGGTGAATCTGGAAAGTCTTCCAAATTGGGAGGAGAAGCAAATGTTTAAAGAGTGAGTGCCCAATATGTTCTCAACAGTTAATGTATACAAGTTTGTTCACTATATGCATCATAGGGTATAGCTGTATTCTTATGTAAATTGTTTATCTTTTCATCTATTTTCCTACCAAGCAAGTTACCAATGTAATCTTCGTGAAGATTCTAACAAATTGTGTCTGCAGATTCATGGAAGATCACAATACTGCTACATTCCCTTCTAAAAAGTAAGGGTCTACAGCATTCTCAATTATCTTTTTTCGTTTCTAGTGATATAGGTTACATTGTGCTTTGAGATATGGGTCAGGGATTAGATTGCTTTAGATGTGCTTGTTCTAGGGTGCATTGATGGATTTTGATACTTCTTAGTACAGGACATTCTCTAGTTAGATAACCATGAAACTTTGGTTGCAGGCAAAGTAGAGTTTCCTTTGACAGCTTTTCCCTTACAAGCCAAAGTTGGATACCAATGAACTTGAATTTCTAATTCATAAATAGATTGATAAATAATTATTGAGGGCAATGCTTGAGCAATTTAGTTTTGAGACTATTGATCTGTGTCTTAGAAGGTGACAGCTTAGATAAAAATGTACAGGTAGCCCAGTGCATAGAATTGTTGAGAACTGGAGTTTACTTGTGCAATTTCCCTGTTTGAGTTCCTCGACTAGACACATTATTTTTGCTCGTTTAACTTTTTTATGTTAGTTTGTCACTTATTTTTGATTTATACAAAAAGGGAAGAAGTTTAGTCTTTACGGTCCCTACCCATATCTTGATTCGCAATGCACTGTTGTACATTTCTAATATGTTTGTGTGCAAATGAAAACTTTGTTCTGCAGTTGCAGGCCTGATTTCACTTATAAATGGGCTGCTGCTTTCATTTCCTTCTGAACATTTTTCCTTTTTATTTCTGTACTACCTTAAAAGTTTAATGTTTGATAATTTAGCAGCCATTAAGTATGTGATCTCTCTGTTGATAACTTTTTCTTTTAACATTACTTATTGATGCAGGTATTACAATCTCGATGCTTATCACAGACGCCAGATGGAAAAGGAAATAAAGAGAGGTTTAAAGAGAGGTTCCAAGAAAGTCCGGGTGACAGAACGTACTGTATTTAATGATGAAGAACAGCGCAGGTATAGTTTCTATTGATGAGTTTGTTCTGACTGTTAATTGGTATTCCTGTAGTCATCAATTTAGTTAGAATTTTGGTTGTCAAATTTCTGCAATTTGATGATTAGATTCATTAGGTGCAATCAATTAAATAATGAGATTCACTAAGCGTGATCAGCAGAGTTTGTTTCCAACTGGACCACCTCTTCAGGTCTAATGTAAAGTATTTTACAAGCGTATCATAAATTACAGGTTAGAAATGCTGCAAGAACGTGAAAGACAGAAGGAAGAACAGGTTGAAGCGTTGAAGCGCTCGATGCAAAGTGGAATGGTATGTTCGTTTGATAAATCAAGAATATCGTCCTGCTATTATATTTCAATTGTGTGCGGTATGTTGATATTCTTCTGTCAATTTTGGGCACTTTGTTAACATTCTTTCATGCTGATGCCTAGGCACAAGCGATGAAAGAGCAGGCTCAACTCAAGGAAGAGATGGCATACCAATACAAGATTGGCAACTTTGAGGTGAAGATAATTATGTTTATATGCGACTGTCAATTGACTAGAAAGTTGACTCTTTTTCCGCTTTGGCATTAATAACTCCGCTTATCTACTCTTGTAATTTAGGCTGCAGCTGCGATCCAAAGAAGGCTTGACCCAGATGTTGCAATGTAATTAGGCCTTTGAAAGTTTGTCAATTGACTTAAATTTGCCAGTTGCGAAGTTTACGTGACGGAATTTGGGATGCTGAGAGCTTCAGAAGTCCCCGTATCTATCTTCTTGCAGAGCGGGAGATGGAGAAATGCTAATGATCTGAACTTTTCCCAAGTGCAACCTGATATGCGGATCCATCCTGTAGAATTATAAAAGGAGAGAGAGAGCCAGCGCAAATTTATTTTATCTGTCGTCTGTGATCAGAGGAAGAGCAAGAAGGGTGATGTACTATTACTCTATTCTGTCTTCTGCGAAGGCACGCACTTACTGCTGTGACAGCAGATTGTGGCAATAATTGATGTTCAGAATAGTTAGGACTGATGACGACACACCCCCTCTGTGTCCAGATTGGTTGAGAAGCAATTTTATTGCGTTAGTTATGGCGCTAGTCACGTAACATTATTATTATTATAAGCTTACAATTTTGGTAGGACTGAAGAATTGAAGAACGGACGAAGGCAAAAATAGTCCACCCAAAGACGAAAGTCGCATCTCCCCCATGTTTTATCACCATTTGCCGCAAAACTCCGGAGGCCTGTTTCATTGATTGAAAATAGAAGATGTGATAACACGCTTCGGGTCGATACGCACCTTTTAAATAAAGGATACTTCTTTTGCTTTTAAATACTGTAGTACGTGTTAACTGAAATTTTGGGGAGAAGCAAAGTCCTGAGGTACAATTCCTTGTCGTAAAAAATCGGAGGAAGCCAGCCCAATCACCTTTTGACAGAGGAGAAAGATCCATCATTCATGTACCGAACATCCGATTCCATCTCATAATCACCACGGTCCAGTCCAACAGGCATGTATCTTGGTGGGGCGGGCACCTCCCAATCACAGCCAGCGTACCTGCGATTGCGAAAGCCTTTCGCGCCGGATTTTTGGTGCTCCATTGTACTGACGAGATATCCAGACCTTAAAGAATCAATTCATTTAATGTTAGACGTCAAAGAAGAGTAAAATTATACTCCACAAAGCAATAGAAATACAAGGCGAATATAGCAGAGCCCATAGAATGAATGACAGAAAAGTCGTGCGGCCTCCTCTTTCTCCATTTCCAAAACCCCTTTCTTCCTTCGCCCACAATTTAGGAGCCAGGCAGCCTAGTGAAATGGCAATCCGGAAAGAGAGAAATTAGTCAACTCCCTTAAGCTCTCCTGTTTACAAACTGCTCAATTACCAATTTATGGTTAAAAACATCTTGCGGCTGCCTTTTTGGCAAATCAAGTCGGGCTTCGTGAGTCCCTCTGCTGCCGAAAATTCAGAGCCGAAACGCCAAAAGCTGTCAAATGAATCAACAACAGAGCCCGCAATTGATATGATCAGCGATTTGCCAGAATTGGTACTGTTTTTCTCTTTCCCTGTGGACTGCTATATTCATTTTAAATCATAACCTTTCTGACTGCATACACTGTGAATCTGCATTTTTAATCCCACAAAATGGCTTGGAAGTGAATCCAACGGCACACATGTTACATTGCCAATTTTCTACTTTCGGTTGCAACATTTTCTTTTTGAAGGATTACTGTATGGCATGGGAAGGAAAAGTCTACTGGTTGATCATCTTGAACTTGGCATGTTACCAATTGTGCACTAATTGAATTTAGTTGCGTGGATTCGCTTACATATGTAAAAGAAAACCTGTTCAAGTTCTTTATACTGTATGTCTTAAAATGCTAACATAAAGGAGATGGAAAACCCAAGATGAAAAGTCAAGGAGATGGGTTATACAGTGAATCAAGACTGAATCTTCATATCCTCGACTCTGTTAATTTTATGACAATGGACCTTTGGTCGTTTGAACAGCTATAGTTTCTGTTTAGTTGCAGCAATTGGGTGAAAGACTGCATACAAATTATTTTTTCCAAGTTGATCGGACCTGAAGCTTGCCTTGTAAAGACTATTTATCTACAACTCAACAAGGTCAAACTCAAGCTTGCCCTGTTAATTGTCCAAACAGGGAATTGAGTGTGGCAAGGAGATAGGATGATGTGTCGTATTTTAGGAGTTTTATGATTCTTTTTTAATTTGAAGCAAAATCTGGGTTCAGGTGCGACATAATTTTTGCACACCACCTCTCTTGCTCCGCCAAATATTATTAAGAAAAGGGATTCAAGTCATGAAATTTTTTTTATGCTGGCAATATCTGTTCTTTCTACTTCTATCTTGTCCTTTAATTGCTTTAGTTCGATTGTAGTGTAAATATATCTGTTGGACCTCGTGAGGATAGAATGATGCTTTCTGGAATGCATACGGTAGCTGATATATATTGCTGCCGCTGTGGACAAATAGTTGGGTGGAAATATGTAAGCTTCTGTTTCAAATATGTTTTTGCATGTTTGCAACGGCACTTCCACTCGTTGTTTTTGACTTTTTTTGTTACCTCTAATGTTTCACTTTTTACTTTTTCACTACAGGAGGCTGCCCATGAGAAAAGTCAAAAGTATAAGGAGGGAAAGTTTGTACTTGAGAGGTATACCTGTCTTCTTGCATGCTGGGTTAAAATTTATCCTGTTTCTTTTCCCCTCTTCCTCCCTCCCTCCCTCCCCCTTTTCAAAATTTAACCCCCTTTCCTTCGGTTCTGACCCATGTGCCGTTACATCTACATGTTGGTAAACAGAGGAGGGATCATGGATGGTTTGGACTCAGAATTCTATATTGATACTCGTCCAAGCATGAGTGATGCTGAGGACGCATAGATTACTGTTATCGTTTATTGTACATGTTAGATAATGTAGTGAATTTGGAGAACCTTGGCTTCCAGTTAATAGATAAGTCCTGTGTATGTACGTTGTCGCAGTTATTCAACTAAAGTTTGATATATAGATGTATGCTAAAATAGTTTTACCAGCAATTACCAAGGTCTTTTATGTTTTAACTGGTGCTTGAGACTTCTTTGAAGTTGTTAATTCACATATGCATGAAGGTCATTACGTAAAAATTTGATTTTTGCCTGCTGCTTGGATGTTTGGCATGCTTTGAGCACTTAAATCCACTTTCAAATAACAATGGATACTGACTTATCCTTTGTCTTCTGCATTTTGAGTGATTTAGTAATCTCTCTTTCTGTCAATGTTCACTTGAGCTCTTTGATATAGATGGTCTCTTTTTGGGGGAAAATGAACGATATCATACTACTGCTTGAATGGATGGAATTCAAAATGCAGGGGTCATTACTGACTTCCAGTTTGATTGGTGACAGAGAGACCTTTGCTCATTATTGGGATATTATTTTTTAACCCATGGATATCGTTCTTGAAGGATCACATTTGCTCCATTCGAAGAGAAAGACGAAGCAAAAAAGAAAGGGGAAAAAAAAATTTGCTGCCAATAGAATAAGATTTACAGAGTATACGATAGGACGGCTCTTTCTTTCACTTTTCTAGTCGGCAAAAATGTAAAATCCTCTCAAACTAGGAATTGTAGTATATTTTCTTATTGAAAAATATTATTTGTACTTCTATTTTTGTTAATTATGCTTTTACTATCATTCTGATCATATAGTTTTCATTTATGAGACTGTATGATAAAATAATGATAGGAGTGTAAATAACAAAAGATGGAATGCGGATAACTTTTCCCTTCTTATTTAATATAATAATCAACATTTTTCAAATGCATCTTTTTCTTTTATGCAAGAATCTTTGAAGTGCTAATGCTTTTGAAAGGTATGTACTTTGTGGTTCAAATTAAATGTTTTTGTTGGGCTCTTTTTTTTTTTTGCCCCTGATGAAGATTCGTCCATGGACTGATGGACCTCCTTCATTTTTTTTTTTAAATCACCTAAAAGAAATGTTAAACAAATACTCCTATTACTTGAAATCTTTCTTTTTTTTAATAAGGACTAATAATGATTTTCTACTTATCCTGTAATTATTCAAGCTTTATCTCCTTGATGAGTTGAATCCATACCTTTCAATTACACTTGAAGTATTTTACCAAGTACAACTAGTCCATCCTTAGTTATCCCTATTACATGAAATTAGCTATCCAAACGAAAGTGCCTCTACCAGCTACCAGTCTGCTACACAAAATAAATAATATATCTATATTGATTGTTTAACAAGAAAATATGGAAGGTCAATATCCTTGGAAAAAATTATTCATCTTTTAATGGATTTCAATCCTTAAATTCCACTCCCCTTCATCTACCAAAAAAAAATAAAAAAATAAAAAATAAAATCTAAAAATTAGATGAGTGTGTTTATATTTTAGGGAAATTTGTCAAATTGGTCCCTAACATTTGCCAAAAAAATTTTTTAGCCCCTAACATTTAAAATCAGCCAAATTTGTCCCTAATATTTAAATTATGATCCATTTTGGTCTTAATGCTCGTATTTGCTCATTTCTCCGACTGAAAATAGCACGCCTCTCTCATGTGGGTATATTTTCAAAGTCAAAATCGGAAAACACACTTAATTTCCTGTTGAGTAAAGTCATTTTCCCTTCATATTTTCTCATTGAAAATTTGAAGAAAAAGCTGACATATAAAACACATTGGTAAAAAAAAACTTATTACATAACTCTCAGTTCGGGGCAAAAGAGGGGAAAGAGGGCGGCACTGTTGTTGCAGCTAGTAATGTGAGTCAGGCTCAATTAGAGCCCTAGGAGGCAGAGACAAATCTAGCCAAGGCTCCAAAGCTTGGATTTTTTATGACAGTGGCTGTATTGGTGGTTAGATGGAGCCCTATGAAGTGATAAGGGGGTGGCCATGTTGATTGAGAAGATGGGGCCAAATGAAGTTGGAAAGTTGGTTGAGGAAACATCTAACATCCCTGGCCGATATTGTCTCACAGTTAGCCGTCCCATGGGGCCGTAGGTTTTGTTCCTAGCGGTGTTGAATAACACAACAAGCTAATGCCTTACCAAAAGGCCTCGACCAAGTGGGGGACATCACAACAGGTTATTAAAGCAGCCCAGGACTTCCTCCCTTAGCCGATGTGGGATCATTACAAAACAAGGGCTGGGTCAATTGCATGCTAGTGGGGACGGAACGAGAATTGCGAGTGGAAAGGGAGAGGGAAGGGAGGAAGATGAGGATAGAGGTGTGGGAAGTGATGCGGCGAGGCTAGAGGTGGTAGGAGGTGAGGGGGGTAGCGGCTATCGATGCTGGTGGTTATTTTGCGGTGGCAGTGGAGAAAGTTTTGAACATTGTCTCTACTACTGGCTTGGCAAGTGTGACATATTTGACCAACAAGTACTTGGATCAAAATGTCAGCTTCTTCTTCACATTTTCTTGTTATTCTTCCTCCATTACACAGCTGTCTAGTTGCAGCTGCGTTTTTCCTCTTCAATTTCATTCTTTTAGTGAGGCAATTAGGACACAAATAGGTAAATATGAAGGAAAGATGGCTTTACTCAACTAGAAATAAAGTGTATTTTTCGGTTTTGCCCTTGAAAATATACCCACGTAAGAGAGCGCGTGCGCCTTTCGAGGTTAAATTACCTGGTCTTGGAACAGCCATTCAGGTCCCAAGATCCAGGGTTCGAACCTCTCTTAACGCTTGGGTGCTCTTGGGGGGCGGAGCACTTCAGGTGCAGGGTGATTAGTCTGGCAAAGTTGAGATGCACCCTGTATTGACAAAAAAAAAAAAAAAAGAGGCATACTATTTTTAGTCGGAGAAATAAACAAATACGAGCATTAGGACCAAAATGGATCATAATTTAAATATTAGGGACAATTCTGACTGATTTTAAATGTTAGGGACTAAAAAAGTTTTTTTGAAAAATGTTAGAGACCAATTTGGCAAATTCCCCTATATTTTAATATCGTAATCAACTTACGGATGATAAGTAAACTTCAACCACCACTTAAAGCTACACCACATTCTTGCCAACACAGCCTTTTTTCTTCTTCATTTTTTGTTTTTTTTTTCCGGCAACACACTTTACATTAGATTAAAAAAGTAAATTGCTGTTTAACTGGAGAAAAGGGTCATGGTAAAGCAGTTGGAAGAATTCCTTGTTGATAGTTGATGAGCGAAATCTGATGCAAATTTCTCAAAATCTGAAAAGCAAGAGAAAACCCCTTCGACGTCCAAACTCCCAGTCTCCCACGCTGCACCCCTCCCTTCCCCCTCTTCTTGTCGGCCAATTTGGATGCTACTACAATTTTGCCGAATCCCATTAACCCCTTAATTTCTTTTCTTTTTCTTTGTTGTTGGATTTTTCTTTTTCTTTTTCCTTTTCATTTTTATCAATTGCAGGTAGAAGGAGGAGGAGAAGGATTCGAGCCCCTGATTGGAGACATGGGTTCTTCCTCTAAGAGGAAATCTGCCAAAAAGAAAAGTTCCAAACTTTCTTCTCAGGTAGCAGTATCGAGAATCTGCTATGTGACTTTTATTTGTTTCTGATAAATTTTTTGCTATATTTGTGCTGGATTCTCTATTTATTTCATGTATTGTGTTGGGTTTATCTTGGTTGTTCTTCAATGTTGTTTCAATAAACAGGCCTGCTCAGACATATTGAGAATAATTAATGGAAAAAATTGGAACTTTAAGCCATTAGCTTAGCTTAGGGCGCATTTAAAGTGGCCATTCTGAAAGTGCGATATGAACAATTGAAACTTTAAGGCATTAATTTGGTTTCTGTATTGAACTTGAAATGGCTGTTATTTCCTGTCAATTGACTTTAGTATCTGTATTCTGATTATTAAAAGCAATCAAATACTTTTTATAATCTTCTTGTTTACTTGCAACAAATACTTCTAAACGTCGTAAACATGTCTCAGTTTCTTGCCTTTCTGTATATCTTATGTGGTTAGGCTCGCAAGATGAAGAAGAGTGGGAGGACTAAATCCAAGAAACTTGGTCGCCGTCATGATTCCAGTACTGATGATTCCATGAGTTCAGATTCCATTTCCTCACCTGGTAATGATTCTTATGCTTCAAATTCTGATGATGACTCCATGAGTTCCGCATCTATATCTCGGTCCAGTTCAAAGGATTCTTACAGGAGAAGGAAAAACAAATCGCGCTCACGAGGTAAACTAAAGAAGACCAGAAAGCGAGCTCGAAGGAGATCTTCCAGCAGAGACAATCGTAAGAAATTAGCTCCCATGAAAAAAAGAAAAAGGTCAAGAAAGGATAGTGATTCTAAGACAAGAAAGAAATACGGCAGAAAGAAACGTAGGAGGGATTCAAGTGCTAGTCCCACAAGCAGCAATTCACACAGCTGCTCTACTTGCAAAGGTGGTAATAGTGACAGTGAGGAGAGCGAACGTGAGAGCGTTTGGAGCAGGCCTAGAGAAAATAAGAGAGATTTAAGCAAGGACAAACGTAGAACCAAACTTAGCTTCCGTAGGTCCCCAAGTCATTCTTCACACAGTAGGTCTAAGGATCAAAGTGGTAGTGTTAGTTACAGTGAGGAAAAGTTTCTGAATGAGAACAATTCCCGGCGTTTGAGATCTGTTATAACATTTGTTGAGCAGAGGAGTGAGGGAGAAGGGAACGAATGGAAGAAGGATCTACAGAATGAAGAAATTGTCTATGATAATGACGATTATCCTTCCAGAAGCAGTAGTGGTGGGGGAAGCAAAAAGGAATCAACTCCTCGTTCACCTATTGCATTTGATGTTGAGAAACGGACAGAAAGTCCTATATTTGTTTCTGAACATGAGGTGACTGAACTTTCAGGAAGTGTAAATGATGCGCATGACATGAATGAGTTTGCGACACGCAGTTCTGCAAAGGAAAATGGGAATTACACTCCCCTTGTGGGTGCTGGTTCAGGGGGTGATGATCTGGAAGCAATTTTGAGGCAGAAAGCTTTGCAGAATTTGAACAAGTTCCGAGGAGGACATAAAAGTAATACAAAGCCTACTTTGGATCAGAAAAATAAGGATGATGGCAATGTTAATGCATCATCCACTTCCACAGCAGCGGTTGAAAGGGTTGTCCTTGACAGCGGACACACTGAAAAGGTTTATGGAATTGT